GGGAGGAGGAGGAGAGGTGGGGGTGCCAGAGCAGGGCTCCTGAAGGACATGAACCTGAACTCTGGGGGGAAAATTCACATTTATGGATGAAACTGAGGCTGAGAGAAAGGTTTGGGTATGTCACTCAATGTCCTCTTGTTCATAGTCTGCCTAGGGTAATGCAGTGGTAATGGCATGGTGTTGTCACCAGCATAATGGCATGGTAAAGGTAATGCCTCTGGGCCGGAAGTGGTGATGGTGAGACCACAGCTAGGGGATGAGGCAGGCGGAAGGCATGAACAGCAGAGATGTGCTCCACAGGGCTGCGGGCAGTGGCAGTGCTGGCCTGGCAAAGCTTAACAGCGTTGAATCAGGCCCCAGTTTCAGTAGCCTGCTCTGTGCCACAGATTGATTCAACCTCCCCCCCCCACACACTTCTGGGCAGCAAGGAACAAGCAAGGAAAAGCTCTGACAATCTCTGCAAGATGCAGATATTTTCTGCAGAGTCAACGGATCTTTGTCAGCCTGAGTGAAAGCAGAGCCGAGCTCTTTCCTTTTAATGAGTCCCTTCCCTCAATACTAAATCCATTTGCCTGGATATTCACGGTTGTAAAACATTGCAAGCCATGGAGTTATACCAGCTACATTAGTTACTGTCAGTGCTGTTAATCCTCACACACTGCCCCTGGGAAGCATGGAGTAAGGTCTTATTTGGGGCAAGGGGCACTCAGAGCCCACAAAGGCTGCTGCAGAAACCTGCCCTTCGTCTCGAACTAGCTAGCGCATGTGGAAAAGCCCAGCTGAAGAGTCTACATTCACTCCTAGTGGCAATGGAAAGTACTTCTCTCCACTGCAAACAGTTGGTGTCTATTGAGCTGCTGTTGTTGTTGCTGCTGCTGCTCTTTCACAGCTGGCAAATAACCCTGGAACTGTGGCTCCCTTGGGGATGGAGCAGAAGCTACCTCTCTGCACCAAGATACAGAGACTCAGCAATTTACTCGTTTTTCTTGGCATATTGCTCTTTCTCACATCCAAATCCTGCCTTCTAGCTGACATTGCAGACCTCTTGCTGATCAGGGGATCATTGTTTGCTTCTCAATTATGTGCTAAATCATTTGCTCTTTAACGCACTATTGTGAGAGGCCTCCACCAGCAAGGCTGTTTTAGAAATAGCCACCATAGGAAATGCAGTGCAAGGTACAACTACTTGAGCTAGTTTGAAATGAGCTAACCCTAGGACAGGAAGCAATTTGTGCTGAAACACAGAGAGAAACCTCTCTGCAAGGTAAAAATAGCCCAGCTTGTGAAATGCCATCCAGCATGTCAAAGCTGCTTACGATGTACATCTCAGGACTCACAGCCAGTCCAGGGAATCCCCCACAAGTCCATGTGGTCCAACTGTGGTCCTAGCCATACCCCCTTGCACCCTGCCCTGGCCGGTCACGCATTACCAGCTATGCCTGACCAGCCCCAGTCTGCCAAGTCCTTTTGCTCTTAAGGGTCCTGTTCAGCCCCAAGTCTGAAGACTGTATAAACCTTCAGTCAGCGCAGCAAGATATTGGCTCAGAGGTGCCGTTTGCTTAAGCTTCTGCTTCCCTTGACCTCTATCTGTACTCCTAGGCTGTAATTGCCTTTCACTGTAGCTTGAGATTCTCCTGTTTATAGATTTGCACTGGAAAGAGAGGAAGCCGTGATGAGAAAAGTTCATGAGAGAAGTTTGGGTTTCCTGTAGAATAGCTTAGTATCTGCGTTGCCTTCCAACAGCCTGCCTCCTTTTTGGAACCAGTGCTTTCCAGGACGCATTGGTTCCCAGATAGCTTGAGTGCCACCCAGAAGTGCTTCTCATGCTGAATGCTTTGGAAAGACTATTTAGCTAATTAAAGCCTCAGTGTGTTCTTTGACTCTACATTTCATTCTGCTCAGTGGTTTCCAGTCTTTCCAGTTTGGGAACTTCTTGTAATTTCCC